CGCACATCACACGGTGCCGGACCTCTTTTATTTCTTTCTCCCCTAAGCTGACATTGTGGTCGAAGCTATGCGCTTGCCGGACCAATCAGCCGTTTCCCTTTCATCTCCTGACCCTATTCTCTGCGCGAGGGTATGCGCGAGAGAGTGTGATCGCGTGGCAAAATTCTGGCTGGCACAACGAGCACGTAGCTTCCACAGCCCTGTCAGCTTAGGAGTGAACGGAGTGGGGAAAGCAACTTTTGTCTGAATTTGGTGGGACGGGCTAATCTTCTAGGGGGACAATGGCTGTGTCCGGGTACACAAACAAAACTCCGAGCAAGAGGGGACTCCCCCCTTTCAATCTTCTTGAACTGTTTGGTACAATGCGCGATTTGTGATTTGATGAAGAAAGCTAATCAGGAAAAAGTTGGAAAATTGTTTCATCACCCCTTTAAGGAATGGCGTGTCGCTGTTCTTTTTTCTATTGAAAATCGCCCCTTTCCGCAGTCTTTAGTTTTCACCCCGTTAATATGTTGCCAAACCATGTTACACTCACTAAGAATTGTAATAAACCGTTGGTGAATTTTGCTGAGCAGCCAAGTTGACTATTATGAGCGTATTGGGACTCGCATTAGGTTTTATCTTCCATTTTTGTTTTTGCAGAACTTTAGTCTCACATAACCTTGTCAAAATATGCACATGCGTTTGCACTCTAGAAACTCCAATATTAAACGAGGGTACACGCAAATTTCAAAAAGGCGTTGTCAAAAATTATAAATATAATCTTTCAATAATACTCCTAACATTCTAAAAAAGTTTACAGTGTGTAGGAAACTTATGTTTATTTCATTTATTCAATATACCCAGAAAGGCCCAGTAACAAGAAATTTAGAAATGAGAAATGAGTATAGTAGGGTACATTGTTGGGCTAGTTGGTTCATCTTAGTGAAACATATAAAATAGCGCAACAAAAAGACAAGGACAAGAAGTATACAGGACAGGCGCTAACTTTCAACTAGTTTTATTCAGGAAAAATGAACACATATATACACACGACAGGCAAAGCAGCACCACGTAAAAGTTGATTAATTTTTCACCCGATCACTCAAAAACTGAAATTCATTACAATGAAGAACAATAGACGTGTCACTGACACATGCCGTCCCACTTTTTTTTATAAAGAAAGCTTCCAATAGCTCTCGAGCGACCGTCTCTCGGCTTCCTCCTATACTTCGTCTGATCCTACGATGGACTAAAGGCCAAAGCCACGGGCCGCCAGGTCCAATCACATTTCATGCTAAACTATGACACGCTTAGCATTGGTTAGGTTTGGACGAATAATGCTCCGAATCAAAAAACGCTGCGTCATTTTTATAGCTTCGACACTGCAATGAGCCAGTAAGCCGTGGCATTCTTTGCAATGTAAAATTGCTAGGTCACTTATTGTTCGATCTGATCTACCGTCGGCCCATTCCCATCAGTCATCCGAGACGTGGTCACCGATACGTGCTTCGAAGCGAAATACCACACAATGTCAAGTGGCTCGTGATTGGATCTGGCGGTTTGTAGCTTATGCCTTTAGTCCATCGTAGGGTGAGACGAAGTATAGTATCCGTATCTGCTGAAGTCGCGGAACACAGCCACACGTGTTGCAATCTATTGGCAAATGCGAGCCATATTTATTTTTTATTGTAGAGCGTGCTCCCGTGCTTGGTAATTGGTGCACCGCCCCGTCTGGCCAATGTATACCTTTCCACAACTCAGTGGGTTTTCGTTGACCACACCCACTGTGCAGTCCACGTAAGTGTTGACGTGTTTCTTATCACACGGTGCGTTTGCCTTCTCATCAGAGATGCGGGCGCACAACCCAGCCAACTTCTTGGGGGCAGAGAATACAACGGGAACATAGTACTTGCTTCCAACTTTCTTCAGATTGTGGGCAACCTTGTGGATGTACGGAATGACTTCTGGTCTTTTTGTTCTCTGCCTCGTTGGGACCTCTCTTTTCAACCCCTTCATTTTGTGTAGGGCGGTCTCCGCCACAGACACCAAGACCGAACACGGGAAGCCAGCAAATTGATCTTTTTCAGAGATCGCTGGGCGCATGCGCCGACTCTGAGAGAGAGGGAGGAAAGGGAAAGGCGCCATTTTTGGTGGCTCTCTCGTCCGCACAGACAGTGCTGGTTCGGCTTGACTCCTCCGCTATTCTCGCGGCCTGGCTTCATAGTCGTCGCGCCTCACCACCGCGCAGCTGCAGGTTGCACAAATAAAAACAAGAATGGTTCCAATAGGAAGCCTTTTTGGAGTTTCAGCAGCCTTTGCGGGTGGTGCACAAAAAGACTCGATGTCAAACACCCTGCACTTTTTGCCATGCTTTCAAAAGCCTAGCACGCGAATCGCCCGTGTCAGCTGGCTGGATCATCAATGTGACGGCGCGACATTTTGATTTCAACTAAAATATAGTAAATCTGAACATGATGGTAAGCCGAAAACGGGTAGGAAAACGAAAACGCAAAAGGAGACACAAAAAAAAAAAAGGCAACGTCTCTTGAGACGATGCTTGTTCTTTTTTTGCGTTTTCCTTTTCCTGCAGCAGTCTCAGGTTTAATGCTTGAAAATGAGCGTGTTGGTGAATAGATACGAATGCATGAAAGGATAAAAGATCAAGGACACAGGACTTCTTAAAAGAAGTAATGTTTCCGTCCCTGTCCTCGATGCATATTCGTATATCAAGTTTACCACCATGTTCAACTTGCACCAGCTCGCCCACACTATGACTATTTTTCCGTTAATAGTAAATGTGCACGCGAGGTTGTGTGACGTAATCACGCCATACACGGTACTCAAGTAAAGAATAACATGATAAAGCTTGCCGTCCTTCAGGCGTGCGCTATAGACATTCGCGTCTTGCCATGTTAAAAGAGAAAAAAAAACGCATAAAAATATCAGTCGCTGGCAAAGCATTTAAAGCGAGCGAAACGAATTTAAGCTTCACGGAGACAAAACCCTGATGGAATGCCTTGGCAACCAACTGTGAACTCCTTTGTTTGCTGGGCTCCCTTTGTCGAAGGTTCGTAAACGTGCTGAATTTAAAGAGAAATTGTTTCTAACGTACCATTCCTTACTTTTTGTTGGTGCAGGCGAGCCTTCGCGATATCAAGACCGCCCGGATTTCACACTGCCTTAGTTTGTTTACACATTCCCGAATACGGTGGTGCTCGTGCGTTCGCGCGGTACACAGGACGGCTAAGTGAGGGACCCAATAAGCTCGAATAACTTAAGCGATCAAGGGGAGAAAAAGCAGCTGTTTGTAGTGGCGGGGCCTTATAAACGGGGCTCACAAGTTCCGCACAGGGTAGATGGTTGGGTCGGTATCAAAACTGGTCACTATTACTTTCCTTACATAACACTCTGCGACTCTGCCTTGAAAGCAGACCCCTTTTTTAGTAGCAAATTGCAAGACGCGATGCCGAAGTGACGATTAAGTGGCTCCGAGTGGATGGTAGAAACTGACGCAGCGTCCGATGCCTATGCACGCTTGAAGGTAAAAAAAAAAAAACGAACGAGGGCCTCTGTATCGTAGACAGTAGCTTTTGTTAATCCTCCAGGTCGTCCTCAGCCATTTCGAAGAAAACATGCACGCCGAACGGAGACAGAAAGACACGTTCAGAATGGGGAAAGACGGAACAACGTTACCAGAGAAGGCACGTAAACACATGGACCGGGAGGCACGCCAGGCCTGGCGCGGACGACGGAGAGACGGTGCCAGAGCCACCAAAAGTGTTTCGAGCGATTCCCGCGAGGGCGCGCCACGATCGTGGCCGAACTATGCAAAAGGTCAATTCCAGTCTAGAAATTTGATATTTAAAACTAGAATCCGCCTGATGGTCCCAAGACTTCAGCAGTGTAGACTCCAGGCACGAAGTTGCAATAGCTCTCTTAACAGTCTTTGAATGAGCTGAATCAAAAGGAAGTGACTCTTTCCGCGCGCGAGGACGATACATCCAGCACACACGTCGTTCGTTGATGGTGATGTTAATATCTAAAAACTGCAAATGATTGTTGTCAGGAAGCTCATGAGTAAAAAGTAAACCTTTCCCATGTTGTTCAAAAGCTGGCAGAATACTTTGTACTGTATCACCGTGCGTCACAGAGGTTAGTTTTTAAAATACAAGAAAATCGTCCACGTATCTAAAAACCTTAAGAACATTGTCGGCGTCTAAAACACGATTCAATTCACGATCAACGGCAGACAAGAAAATGTTACAAATCACCGAAACGACGCATGATCCAATACAAATGCCCTTGCGCTGGATAAACAGCTTGTCATCGAACGACACAAACGTGCTACTCAGACGGGTCAGTGCATCAATGACCGAGCACGGGAGCACGCACTATCAGTAAGAAATAAATATGGCTCGCATTTGCCAATACATTGCAACACGTGTGGCTGTGTTCCGCGACTTTGGCAGATACGGATACTAAAAAGAAGCCGAGAGACGGTCGCTCGAGAGCTATTGGAAGCTTTCTTTATAAAAAAAAAGTGGGACGGCATGAGTCAGCGACATTTCTATTGTTCTTCATTGTAATGAATTTCAGTTTTAGAGTGATCGGGTGAAATATTAATCAACTTTTACGTGGTGCTGCTTTGCCTGTCGTGTGTATATATGTGTTCAATTTTCCTGAATAAAACTAGTTGAAAGTTAGCGCCTGTCCTCTACACTTCTTGTCTTTGTCTTTTTGTTGCGCTATTTTATATGTTTTACTGAGAAATGAGTACATCAAATACAAAAAAAACAATCCAATAAATAATAAAAGTATAAACAAGACAGCGAAACAGTTATATACAACAAACAAGTTATAATGAAAAATAAAAATAAAAGGTAAGTGAAATATACACCCCTGCATCTTACTGAAATATTTGTTTTGTTAAATTATATATGCTGAAGAAATTATTTTTCTTAGTTAGCTACACAACATACTGAATAATTTCTAGAGGAGAAAATTTGCAACTTGCGTACTTGTGAAAGATGAAGTTCCATGGTAGCCTGGTTGAAGGCCAAAATTATCCAGTAAAAAGCAAAATGTATGATGCCCACCAAGAATTCTATGTCCATGAGCAGGAACCAGAATTTGGCACCCCTGATGCTTTCTGCGTTCTGCGACTTGGGAACGCACTCTGCAAATGAGCAGAGACCTTCATCATACCATTTCTGTTCTTGAAAGATGATGTATCTTGAAAGTCCATTTTTTTACACTGATTACGTCAGGTACACCTATATGAATGCATCGGAGACGCACCGGATATAAAATAAATTATGCGGAGTAGGGCATAGCATGAACGTACGAATATATATACAGGGTGTTTTAGAAAACTCAGGTCAAATCGCTCCTGCGAAAACTACACATCGCAGCGAAAAAAGGCTTGTTTCGTTTTGGTCCTGGGCCAGGGGCCCATTTAGGAAAGTGATTAAAGTCCGAGATATTTAAGTTGTTAATAATTTTTGCGCAATTAACTTTTTAATATTGTGTTTACCCATACAAAAATGATCTATGGACGTCTATAGAAAATCCTATGGTGAGCTATCACCTTCTATGGCCCTCTATGGTCAGCCATTAGAAACCATAAAACACGCTATAGCCACCTATACACCAACTCAACTCTCCTACGTCACGCCGCGGTGGTGGCGCGCCGAACGCACTTCCGGTCTGGGGCGGTGGGCAGAAGTCGCCGTGCCAGACATGCATTCCTGTGTTCCTTTGGAAGAAACGAGACAAAAAACCTGCCTTCTCGTCAAAATGCTGCGACGGGGGCTTTACCAAGAGAGTCTGGAAAGGTTTGAAGATCAGTTTTCATGTGTTCTTGCACCCTCCGTTCGTCCGAGAACGTGGATAGTAGCCGTGAAAAGGGCAAACCAGACGCTGTCAAACTACGATTGCGTGTGCGGGCAACACTTTGTGGTCGCCAGATGTATTTGCTTTGTTCCACATAAACGAGAGAAAACCGCCAAGTTGTCCGGACCACCCACGGGTTCAGTGCGTCTTCAAATTCACACGGCCGCCTGATCGTTCGAACTTTCGTCTGCTTTTTCAAACTTGTCTGCTTTTTGTCGTCTGCTAGTTCAAACAAAAGCGGCCCATAGACCAAACGTTGACCCGGTAATTGCAATAAGAAGTAATTGCAGGCCTCAAAAGACTTAAGTAGGCTCGATGTAAACAGTAGATACAAGATGTTGATCATTGGTACCGGTGGCCATCACCGACTTGTTTCGCTTGGATTGTTCCCGTTTCCGATTTTCAATATCGACGTCGATCATCGCCGCTACCTTCTACACTTTTGCAGCACGAGCGACGTCACGTCCGAAAATAGCTAGAAGAATCTCACCATGGTTTTGGCGTCCATTCTGCGGCGTTCACGCGAATGAATCGCCGCACGTCAAATTATTTACGGAAAGTTTAGCGGCGTAACGAGAACCGATAATTTCGCTCAGGCGATTAAAGTGGTTAGAAAGACATTGCGATGACGACGTAGAATCGACAATTCCAACCCGAAAAAGAGTATGCAGACTCACACAAATGCCGAAAACGTGACAATCGAATGGTTTGTTGACGCGGGACGCGGTGCTTCTTGCCCGTACTCCATTGCGCATGCGTTCGAACTGTCGTCTGCTCTTTCAAACTTGGCTGCTTTTTGTCGTCATCTCGTTCAAACGACAGCGGCCCGTAAACCAAACGTTGTGAAACCAAACGTTGTGAAAGAACTAAGTGCAGGCCTCAAAACAGTTTTGAAGGTTGGTTGGGGTAAGTATAGGGCTAAGTGTAAACAGATACAAGAAGATGTTGATCATTGTTACCAGTGGCCATCACCGACTTCTAATGCCCGATCCTACTTGCGGTTTTCAGTATCGACGTCCACCATCTCAGCTACGGTCCACGCTTTTGCAGTCCGAGCGAAGTCGCGACTGAAAATAGCGAGCAGAATCTCATCGTGGGAGCCAGGTTTTAGCGCCCATTCCGCGGCGTCCACGTGAAATGAATCGCCGCACGTCACATTATCCACGCAAAGTTTTGCCTCGATAGTTTTGCTGAAGCCGCACAAGTAGTCAGACATTGTTAGGAGGACGTAGAATCAACAATTCCAACGCGAAAAAGAGCACGGGGACTCGCACCAACGCCGACAACAACGCAATTCAATGGTTTGTTTATGGGCGACGGCGAACTTCTTGCCCACCATCCACCGCGCATGCGCGGCGCCGATGGCGTCCGCTAGGGGCGCTCCGGATTGTTTGTAAACATGAGTTGGTGTATAGGAAACTGTATGTCTTCAAAGCTTTAGAATCTCAACCATTCCGATTTCTATACCTGGCTATAGAATAATTTATGACTACGCAGCTATAGACTCGCGACTATTCAATATTCTTTAGCGAGCTATAGAAATATGTATGTCCTTGATGCTATAGATTTGCGACTATTGAATGTGTTTTAGCCAGCTATAGAGTGGTGTATGTCCCTAAATCTGTAGAATCGCGACCATTGAATTTTCTTTAGCCTACTCTATAGCGTTTTATGTCACCAAAGCTAAAGGCCTTTGACCTTTCAATGTTCTTTAGCCGGCTATAGAGTGGTGTATGTCCTTAAATCTATAGACTCGCGACCATCGAACTTTCTTTAGCCGTCTTTATAGCGTTTTGTCACCAAAGCTATAGGCCTCCGACCATTCAATGTGCTTTAGCCGACTATAAAGTGGTGTATGTCCCTAAATCTATAGAATCGCGACCATTGAATTTTCTTTAGCCGACTCAAAAGTGTTCTATGTCACCAATGCTATAGCCTCCGACCTTACAATGTACTTTAGCCGGCTATAGAGGGATGTATGTCTCCCGAGCTATAGATTCGCGACCATCCAATTTTTTCAGTCGGCTCACTGGTTTGCTTAGGCTATAAGCCCGCGACCCTCTTTTTTTTTTTTTACTGCAGATGTACGAAAGTGGAAGAGAGTCATTCATGCGCTCGATCGGGGCGCATGCCAGGTTAACAGGTTATACGCCCGCGATTACAAAAGCGTCCATAGCTGCCTATAGGGCTATTGCAGTTTTGCCGGCTGCTTTCCCTGCGCATTGCCTTATTTCGGCGTTGACGTCATCTCAATCTTCCGTTTTTTAGCTCTAATTATCTGTCGTTTCCAGTGTATTTAGTAAGTATATGTATTTCGTAGCGCGCCTTCTACGTTGTCCGTGTCCCTGCCATGTTTGTATTTCTTTCTGCCTGCTGTGTTAAATATATTTAATGTTTTTTTTTTGTGTATATTTCGTCGTTCTCGACGCGGCGTCAAGAACGCTGCTTACGCCACTACAGAGGTGAGCTTTACTCTTGTCACGACGGTTTATCGCGCTATAAAGCCGTCTATTGGACTCGTATAAAGTGTCGAGAGGGCGGTTTCAAATGCCGGTGCACATGTCATCGGTGTAGGCAGAGCAACGACGTAGCAATCGCGACGCGAGTGCTGACTGCGCCTCGATCTGGCCGGCCGCGCTCGCTCTGTGGAAATGTAAGCTTGGGACTCTCGAGCCCCGTTAGCTTACTGAAGATGCAAGACACTAGTTCGTCGCGAATCCTTTGCCCTTCGAATGGCTTCGAAGCCGTTCCAGCGCCCGGCGTATACCCTACGCAGCGTCCTCCAACAACCGTTCGCACAGCATCGGAACCCTCCGTCTGCGAGCGCCGGCGGTTCGCCGTCGCGGGGATTATGTTCGCGGGAGTTCATGTTCGCGGTGTTTCATGTTCACCGCAGGAGTTCATAAAATGCTTCCATTCAAGTCGCAACGATAAATCGTCGGCGCTCGCAGGCTGCCAGTAGGCTCCAGAAAGGTTGCGATGCTGCGCGGGCGGTCGCTGACAGGCGCTGCTGCCTAGGGTACGCCGAGCACTGGAACGTTTTCGCCGGCGTTCGCAGGACAAAGAATCTCAACGACAAAGCAGCGCCCTGCATCATCAGGAAGTTAACGATGCTCGAGAATCCCACGCTCGAGAGTCCCACGCAGTCGTCTCTCATTTCGCGATTGCTGCGTCGTTGCACTGACTAAACAATTCACAGTTCTCCCGAGACTTCATGAGCGTTAAATCGACGCGCCTATAGCGCGATAGAGTGTCGTGACAACAAAAAAGCTTACCCCAGCAGGGGCGTAAGCAGCGGTGCAATGTCTGTCAACGCCCATGTCGAGAACGGCGAAATATACAAAAATGACAGCCGAAAAAAAAAATTAATATCATTAGGCACGCGCTACCCTAGGTGCGTCCTATTATCTTTCTGTTCTGCGAATTCAACAAATCAGCAAGCGCTGTGGCTAATTTTTCTTCTTTTTCTTTAAATTATGAGACATTAAACTCATTGGAGCTTCTTGGAGCACACATCCCCACCATGAGTCATCATGGTGCTCAGAGATTGTAATTGATGGCAGTGATATAGACTGAACTCACGGATGAAAAACGTATTACGGCACAAATTTCTTAAACCGCTCAATCATAGATGCCACTACGATGCAAAAATTCCCAAAATTGACGTTTAAAAATGCGAACCTAACAGTGTACACATAATTCAAAAGTGCTTGGCAAAAAAGAAAAAAAAAATATATATATATATATATTTATTTATTTGTTTGTGGACATCGTGCGCAAAGAGAAAGTATTCGCCATTAATTATTCATTATGAATTAGAATGTGGGCTAAAAGGCGTAAAATATGATATCTTCAAACATGCCTCGTTTTGGGTCACTTCTGGGAAGTGCAGCTTTAGAAAGAAGTCCAAAAGCTGGGGGGCCTTCATGGAGCTGTCCTGTTCACTCGGTAGTGACAGCAGAGTAGACGGTATGCGTGTTTGAGGCCAATCATGTCTCCGGTTAGGGTCCCGTGACAACTGTCTCGAAGCTGGTGATAACGCTGGACACGGCACCTGCCTTAAGCCCAAGGCCACACATAGCATCCACTGCACTATCAACCTTGGCTCGAACTGTCAACAGGATATAAGTGACACATTCTCTCGCTGTGTTCATTGTTGGTATGCCCCTGAGGATTAGTCTTTGTGATCGCACCCCCATTCTGGCCTTGAAGGAGCTCTGCTTTTCAATTTTTCTGTTTTCTCTCTCTCCCTAAGCTAAAAGCATTGCAGAAGGTGCGTACTCGGCAAACCAATCAACTGTAGACTTTCTATTGCTTCACTCCGCTCTCTGTGCGCATGTAACGGAAGGAGCGTGATCACGTGGTTTGACGGATGACGTAATAGCCGCTGCCAATCCCGGAGTGAGGCTGCTTGCGGACCTAGTTTCGCGTGTCGTGCGGTCCGCGGGGCTGCTGTGGATTTCGCTTCTATGTTAAAAGGTATCCCGATCGAAAAGTCCTACCCGTATGTCGGCAACAAGCGATTTCTTCAAAGAAGCCCAAGACATTCTTGTGATGCGTTCAGTGTTCGGTTCGGCAAATGACAGCTTGTGCTACATCGTGGTGAATCTTCACGGATCCCTTCCTTCTCGGTTTTGTGTTTGAGTGGTTGGTCTGCAGTGCCCGTGTCGACGTATATTTCGGATTACATCTTTCAAGTCCGGTATTTTGAACGTAAGTGCGCTGCAACCTACTCGGCGACAATTGACCGTTCTGTAGTCTCTATCTCCTGGCAGTGCCTATCTTCTGACAGCTGGGAGAATAATTTCCCCGTAATTCTACCGCAGTCGCCTGCCATTAGCTCTCTGAAATCATGTGAAAATTGTAGTTAGAATACTGACATTCTTATTCTCTCTGCGTTTTGTGAAAAGACGTTTCATGGACACCTTTTCGTGGATAGACGCTTCATGGACACACGTTTAGTCGGCACTCGTTACGCGAATTGCACGCTGCAGGGACATTTCGTCGCGCCTGTATTCCTGAGGCGCGTGCTCACCGACTCAGCCCACCCGTTCACGCCACTTCTTGGCAAATCATTAAAAAAAACAAAACAAAAAAAACATATTTTGAGTTGTTTATAAACGTCACGTGTTGATGAAACGATCTCGATGAAACGTCTTTTGATAAACTGATTGCATCGCCAATGAGTGGCGACTGGCATTAGAATTTCGGGGGGAAAGGGGGGGGGGGGGGGAATTCGGCCGGCTGCCGGGGGACTAGACATTACCCAGGAATTGCCTTTGGTTCTTGTTTGCTTTACAATATTCTCAGTTGTATAACAGCTCAGTAGTACCTCTTCACATAGTAGAGATTGCTTAGTGTGTGCTTGTCTACAGAATGGGCTGTGTGTAATAAACTTCTAGGAGATTTGAAAACAATACCTTGTGTCTGTTTACCTGTGCTTTTGCAAACACCTGAGTGAGTGCATTTGTTTTTTGTTGTTGTTTTGTTGAAATGTTAGCTCTTTGTTTTAGATGGGGCTATGAAGTTCGGCACGTCTCACAAGTTTTTTTTTAAAGATGTCCAGTGACAACAACTAATTTGTTTCACATTTCTTACGATTGCGGTAAAAAGAAAAGCTACCGGCAGCTATGGCACGATGGTAAAGAGACTCATAAGACGAGATATAGAAGAAGCTATAGCAAACCATACAGAGAGCAATAGGCAGCTAAAGAAATCATAGAAAAAGCCATAGGCAGCTATTGCACGGTGTCTAAAAAGATCCATAGAGTAAGGCATAGGGATTTCTACAGCACACCATACAAGATGCTATAGGCGGCTAAAGGAACCATAGAAAATTCTATAGGCAGCTGTAGCACGGTGGGTATAGAGAACCATAAGACGAACTTTAGAATGAGCTATAGCGGACCATACAAAGAGCAATAGGCGGCTAAAGAAACCATAGGAAAAGCCACAGGCAGCTATAGCACGGTGTCTAAAAAGATCCATAGAGTAAGCCATAGAGATCTCTATAGCAAACCATACAATATGCTATAGGCGGCTAAAGGGACCATATGAAATGCTATAGAAAGCTGTAGCACGATGGGTATAGAGAACCATAAGGCGAGCTATAGAATGAGCTATAGCGGACCATACAAAGGGCAATAGACGGCTAAAGAAACCGTAGGAAAAGCCATAGGCAGCTATAGCACGGTGTCTGAAAAGATCCATAGAGTAAGCCATAGAAATCTCTATAGCAAACCATACAATATGCTATAGGCGGCTAAAGGAACCATAGAAAATTCTATAGGCAGCTGTAGCACGATGGGTATAGAGAACCATAAGACGAGCTATAGAATGAACTATAGCGGACCATACAAAGGGCAATAGACAACTAAAGAAACCGTAGGAAAAGCCATAGGCAGCTATAGCACGCTGTCTAAAAGGATCCATAGAGATCTCTATAGCAGACCATACAAAATGCTGTAGGCGGCTAAAGGAACCAAAAGAAAAGCCATAGGCGGCTATAGCATCCTTTCTAAAGAGACCCATAGACTAAACCATACCGAATTCGATAGCGAAATTTCCATTGAAAAAGCTATAGACAACTATAGGGGAGACCATAGGGAAAGCTATAGACAGCCATAGAAACGGCTATAGCTAATTGGGCCAATTTGCTATAGCCGGCCATACAAAGGATTTTCTATAGCCGACCATAGACCATTTTTGTATGGGTAAGCGCATGGTTTCATTCAGAAAATTGCTCAGCATCGTCGAAAAACAGTAAATCAACAAATCGCAGAACGGTCGAAGGCACGTGGAGCATTTTAGGGCTTGTTGGAAAACCGCACAAATTCAACGGGTTTTTAAGTTTCGGTTTGCTATCGGAGCGCATCTGGGCCCCGGCGGCACCGCGCCCAGTTGAGAGGTAGTGCAACCAACCTCTGCTGCGCTGTCATCGCGTGACGTAGCAGGCGCTGGTTGCACTATCTTTCCACGGGGCGCGGTGCTGCCGGGGCCCAGATGCGCTCCGACAGCAAACCGAAACTTAAAAACCCGTGGAATTTTGCGGTTTTTCAGAAAGCCGCAAAATGCTTCGCGTGCCTTCTATCGCTCTGCAATTTGTTGATTTAGTGTTTTTCGACGATGCTGAGCAATTTTCTAATTGAAATCATGCCCTTAAACACAATATTAAAAAAGTTAATTACGAAAAAAGAATTAACTTAATTATCTCGGTCTTTGATAAATTTCCTAAATGGGCGCCTGTCCGAGGACCAAAACGACACAAGCCTTTTTTTGTTGCGATGTGTAGTTTTAGCAGGAGCGATTTGGCCTGAGTTTTCTGAAACACCCTGTATATATATATATATATATATATATATATATATATATATATATATATATATATATATATTGATTTAGAGCAAGCCTCCCAGGTAAGGAAGCTTTATGCCCAAATAAACTGACTTTCTTTTCAAACAGACACCAATTCTCGCCCTCTAGGCGACGAGTGAGATCTGCAAATAACCGAATTGTACTGAAATTACAAGGGCAAGGCATTAACATCTGACCTATACGTCAGTAATCCAAACGAATGTTAACATTTGACAATAGGCTCAATCGTAACTATCCCACGCATTTTCTATTGGAGTTCGATTAGGTTCTGTACTAATAGTATATCATATCCCTCCTCCATTTCGCGCTGCCAGGTCGGTTTGAACTTGGCTTCCACAGCACTAATATCGTCCCATCAAACATATTATTAGCTGAGAAAAACTTCTACTGTTCAAAGCATAAGCCTATGCCTGCGCTGGCGTCGCATTTTTAGTGTTGCAAGTGGAGACTGTCAGTTCAAAAAAGCGTGTAGTTCCAACATAAAAAAATACTAACTACGTATTATATTTGACACACATTATCATTGTTACAGTTTAACCATGTTCATTTTTGGTCTTTTGAGCCTATCTTGAGATAATACAGCAACCAGGACAAAAGCTCACGAGTTCTCTCCATTATTCATTTACCTCCAGAGATAACACCTTCCGACGTCGCCTTTGACTTCACACCATATATTATGATGAATGGAGAGGACAGAGCTTGAACAATTCCAACCAAAAAGAACGGCAACGGGAAAGCCCAGAGCTGTGAAAGAGTATTGAATACACCAGAGTTATCAACACTGCTGCAACTGTTTTATAAAGCAACTGATTTTCGACGAATATATAGAAGTATATATAAATATAGCGAAGAAAGAGTACATTCCTGGAAAGGCATATTTTAAAGTTACCGGTGTATCAAGCGGAGACCGTCTTCGATCGGGGTGATGGATAACGTACTCTTTTGTGTTGGGTGCATACAGAATTTGTTTATGACATAAAAGAAAAAAGGAAGAAAATTGTGGCTTCTAGAAACCTTAAAATAGCAACAAAGAATGATATCAGGGGATGAAACATACCTATAGGAGTTTAAAGTACAAATAGTTGTCAGTTCAACCTCAGAGGGTGATAACATTCACCAGGGCTATTTTTGAAGATAAGTATTAACGAAATGAGACCACAGGGAAAAAGAAGACATGAAATGAGAAAAGAAACACACAGCAAAACCACACTTATGTTCCAGTAATATTAAAATGGCCTGCATATTGAATAACAAAAAGTCAAACCCACCGAGCACCCTGAAAAAAGGTTGTTTTAATTAAGGGTGTTACGATGTTTCGTGTAGCCAAGAGAGTTGGCCCGGACTGCCATGTGTAAGTTATTTGAATTTGGAAATGTAATATGCCTTCCTCGGTTCTATTTTTATTAAGAGAGTTTATTATACACGGAAACATGTTAAGAAAACTTATTGTTCATGGAAAGGCGTATATGTAGCTATTAAGCACGCATTTCCCTGGATCTACTTTGACTCCGTTATCTACGTCTGCCTGGTCCGTCTCACCCCCTCCTCACCCATTTACGTCGATGGTGGCTGGTATTAGATTCACGGATCGACTCTCCATAACGTTCTACCAGTCGTTGTCACCCCACTGTATTCGTTGTCTACAGTGGGGTGCGCCTTTTAGACGACCCTATCCTCACAGAAGATTTACCTCGAGTAATGTCCAGGCACATTCTTTATGTCGTCATAAACGACAATTCCCTCTATGAAGCATCCTGTTTATGTCAACAATCTGCCAATTTGATAAGATCTCCAACGCATTCGCGCCATGCTTTGTGGTACCCATCCGAGGCTCGTCCTTCCTCGCCAACCTAAACATCTGTCAAGAGGTACTGAAAAACGTATACTATATCGTTCATCGCTTTGTGCAACTGCCGCCACGATGCTCCCTGGCGGCTGATATAATTCACCTCAGTTTTAAAGGCATCGCAATCTTTGCTCAGCGCTTCAAGCAAGGGTTCGCGTATGGCCGGAACCGACCGCCTTTTGCATGGTCAAACATGATCCCTGCAGCCACACCGTCTGCATTAATGAGTGAAGTGACCTTTGCCGTCTCTTCCTCGCCTGTCCGAAGGAGCTCTAATGTTAACGCTTCCAAATTGAAAATCCCCCACTCTACCCCCACGTCTTGCCAACCGGGTGCAAAACTGGGACTTCGTGTTGTACTCCAGAGATCGTATGGGAGGTTGGCACCACGTGTGCACCTTCGGAGAACCCCAGACATTTACAGCAGCCGAGTTCGGAGCTCTGGACACGAGTGCTGCTCCCTAGAGGCCATGCCCACCGTTTATTATCCTGATGCACCCTCCAGTACAGGCACGATGGGCCGGCATTACGAAGAGTTCCTCCTAGGACTGGCTGCCACTCCATCCCAAGATGCTTTGGGGACTACCGCAGAAACTTAAGAAACACCTGCACCCAAGCGCGGATACAATCTACGCAAGAAAAATGTAAATGTCGTCGAAAGAAAGGCACCTTGCGGCTGACTCACTGGTTCAACAGGTACTGTATTATACGAGTACCACTATTAGATATGTTTTCTGCTCGCACAAAAATCATAGTTAAACGTATTCGATGCGAGCTCCTTACTCAAACACAGCAACACTATCTTTACTAAGCTACATCGCCAAATTTCTCTCACCTAAATATAATAAATTCGGCATCTGGGAATTACACTGCTTTGGTAGAAAGAGCGGAGAACACAGCGTCGCCTAGTTATTTGTTCTTGGCCCCTCCTGTTTGCATTCTAATTCAATAAAGTGCTAGAGTAATGATAGAGGTGCTTGTAATAAATATCATGCTGGAATATTTCTGTCGTCTACAATGAATCCCAGAGCCATAAAACGAGCCTGAAATATTTGTTCTTGTGTTAAATAGCAACAATAAACGCCGCAGAAGACGCCGATCTCGAGGTCGACGGGCGTGCGCACATCCACATATTTAAGTGATAACAGTTACGGACTCTTTTTACCACTGGAAATTACGTCTGTTTTGGTTGTAGCTTTAAGGCGTATCTAACCGTAGGATGTCTGTCGTCGACGATGCCAACTCCTTAAAAAGGACTGTCCGTTCCCCGTGGGATTCGATCCTTGGTCCGCCGCATATGAAGCAGAAGTCTTACCACCGAGCGGCTCTACAAATTTGACTAGGTTGTCTCAGTGTTGTGTTTAGGGTGATGCCATCCTTCGCAGTACCAGAAGCCGACTGCGCGCGCTCTTTGGGAAAATACAAAAAAAAGAAAAAAAAAAAAGCCGATAACAAAATGCCAAGTGCTCGTGCCGGAAGACCCGCTTTCACCAACTCCGGAACAAAAAAAAAACAAAAAAAGAGAGTGTTCAGAACAAAATTATTAAATTACAATGTTGTTCCGAACGCGTTTTTCCACGCACCCCAAGGTGCGTGAAAGCGAGGACGATGCATAACGACTTCGCCATAAAATGTTGCAGCCACTGATCTCTATCGTAGTAGGCTGGATAGTGGACCGCGGCCTCGGCAGCTGGAGCCGAGTGTCGCCACCGGTGGCCATTGATGGACACCAGCCAATGCATCGGACTCTATGGGAAGAACGACAAAAAGTGCCGTTTTCCCCCGTTTCTAAGTTGTTGTCGGCACTGAAACTTTTTGGATGCTTTTCGATAAGCCCGTCAAATAGCTTGTGTAGAAAGATTAAAACTGACAGCCCCCGCAGTTCTTATGAATAAATATTTTGTGGTCGATAGTGACTCCGCAGTAGTGCAGCTTAATGAGGCGAGAGTTACCTAGAGTTACAGCGGAGTCGGTGGCTGTTTCGTTGAGTTGGGTTTTGCAGACCACAAGCTCGAAGGCTTTTCTACGCAGAATTCGCTCACTCCCGGAAAGCTGCTGTCGAGATGGCAGTTCTTTGTCATTCATCAACTTCTGGGCTTCTCCGAGGACGGTCTCATTGACGGCAAGTTCCTCTGTTTACTCCACTACGAGAGAAAGCTTGCCAGCTCAGCCGTAGGTGCTCCGGTACGTTTGATTTTTTTGTTCGGCGACCGAACGTTTGACAAATACCGATTCGATCTCCAAACACCCGACATGAGGATCGCAGCGCATCATAAAATACTCGCCTCCGAGCACAGCGTAAATGCTGCAATATGCTTACTTTTGTGCGTTTCTCCCATAGACTTGCGTGTATTGCCTGGTGTCAAGCAATGGCTGCCGGTGGCGACACCGACGGGCTCCCGATCCGCGATCCAGCCTACTAAAATAGAGATCACTGGTTGCAGCTATCGCGCGGACAGGAGAGCTAATTATTGTGGGACTGTCCGAAGAAGTTACTACTAAATTGGGAATGCCGAAACCCGGGATTTTGGCAAATCCAATTTCCTGCAGAGACGTCTTCATACAGCCTATGGTTTCAGGTTTCAAGTGATTTAATATGCCCTCCCGCTGGAACTGGGTCAAGTTCAAAGTGTGAGCCTCCGGTTCCAAGAAAGTTAATATGCCGGCCCGTTGGAACCGGATCAAGTTCAAAGTGTGGTATATATATATATGGGCGGTTTTATGTGGATTCAGGCAACGAGTAGCAGTATTATTTTTTTTTATTTTGCTTCAAATTTTTTTTTCATGGAGCATCTTTTAAGAGGAACAATCCTTTTTAATTTAATGTCTTTATATGTTTAGTTTCCGAGAAAAAAAAATCTCTAAGAAGCGGGAAGAACGGCGAGGTTTTGACGATTGTCGTGTGTGCCGTTTTTGAATCACTTTCTATCTCAAAGTATTCAAAAGAGAGCGTCTATATTTTGTTTAGTGTGATATATGTAAAAGTAGGTAAAACGACATTATAAATACAATTTATTATTCGTCGCTCCGATTTTTGTAAAAATCCCCAAACATGCCTCCGCGAACAACTGTGACCTAAATTGCGGATTTGTTTCTGAGTCGACTATGTCTAGCATCGCTTTCAAATGAATACCACGTGCAGAACCTTTCAGTGCCTTCCAAATTAAACAAAGTTTGTGTTTTTATCATGTAGAAGTACTGAGAAAATAATTATGAAACAGAGAAGGTTTTCTGTATAGCCAAAGAAAGAAAATTTACCTTAAGTACAGACAAAGGAATGACCTGTCAAAAATGACCAAAACGTGATTGGAGTGACGAGTTTGACGTTTTTTTAGAAAACAATCAGATTCCTAAAAATACTTGAATACGTCAAAGTATCTCTATACTACCTATTAAATGAGGGGGAAAAATTAAAAGGGTGTACTATCGCCAGTAGAGGGTGTCAAACACGCGACCTGCGACGGCAGGCAAAAACACTAGTTTCTGCCACTGCGGCTTCTGCGCTTCGTAACTCGAGAACAAAAAATCTGGGGAACATGCGGTTTGCGCCTTCCTTCAGTTGAGAAATGGCTCCAAAAAATATATTTTTTTCGTCAAAATTGAAGATCAGACCCCTTTAGCCTGCCCGATTTGAAATGAAACCACCGATATGTATATATATATATATATATATATATATATATATATATATATATATATATAACGGGCATGGTGGCGGGAGGCCGAAGGCGTGGGTATATAACTGAGACGAGAAAACCCTTAGTGAAAACAGCAACAACAGGAAATAATCCGTTGTTGCTGTTTTCACTAAGGGTTTTCTCTTCTCAGTTATATATATATATATATATATATATACAGACCGGGTCTTTTTTTTAACTTAACATATTTTTATAAAACAAGCCGTGAAAGTTAAACTTATGGGGTTTGTGCAGGTGAGTTCTATGTCCAGGGGGACAGAGTATATGGGCCTAATCGTAACGATCAGTCGGCGAATTAGTAGAAATTCGTTAATTAACGTTTTAATTAATAAAAATAGACATATGGATCTGATTTGAAACTTGCTGAGCGTCATCGAAAACCATTTTTAGAAGGACATAAAGCAGGGGCAGCATTTTACGGCGTTCTAAAGAAGCGCTCAATTGAGACGCGTTTCTAGGTTTCGCTTTCTTATCGGAGCGCATTTTTGCGCCCGCGGTCCCGCCCCCCCTTTCCGGTGGTCGAGGCGCGAAGCCACCCCCTCGCCTCCCGCGTAGCCTGGAGCGAAGTTGGGTGTACTACGTATGTTGCACGTTTCAAGGACTGCATAGGGTGCACGACCGAGGGCGCAGAAATGCGCTCCAATAAGAACTTGAAACGCGTCAAAATTGAGCGTTTTTACGGAACGCCGTAATAAACTGCCCCCCCCCCCCCCCTTGTTATATCCTGCTAAAAAAAGTTGATTCAGAGGTATTCTATGACGCTGTGCAAGTTTCTAACTGAAACCACATGTCTATTTTCCTTAATTAAAAATTTAATTACCGAATTTCAATTAATTAGCCGACTGATCGTTACAACTATGAATTGAAATGCACACCGAGGGTCAAAAAATAAGCAGGGCGTTGCTCTCTCGGTTCTCTGTCTTTTCTATTTATTGATGTCTTCATTCTACCCTAGTATTATCTTAATTCAACGCAGTTGGAATATTCGCACACCCCTATTTTGCAGACGACCAAATTAGCAATGGTAGATTGCCTAGTTTTCAAAGACGGAGCAGCTCCGTCCAAGGAGGGTATTTGCAATTTAATGTTGGACGACGTCTGCATATATTGAGCGCAAGCGCGCATGCCCAGCTTTAACTCGTGGCGAAGAGGATATCAATGGAGAGGCAGAAACACGAGCAGACGAGCAACGCTTTCGACTCCTCATTGCATCTGATATTGCGAATTCGGCGTATAGACAAGGTTACCCCACTTAAGTAATTAGAAACACTCTGTAATCTAGGCACACTAAGTGATAGTTGTAAGTGGAGGTGCCTTTTCTCGATAAGCGCAAAAAGCAGAAAACAAAATGCGTCGTCTGCTCGCTGTGCCTTTGAGGGGATTATATTATCTACGCACGTCGATTAAGGCTCCTCCTGCGGCTGATCCGACTCCATTTCCAATTCCTGAGATGGCCTCTAATATTCCCTAAAAAGAAATACCAGAAATTAAAAAAAAAAAAAAATAGGTACGTTTCAAACAAAGCAAGAGAACATTTGCAGCCGAATCTCTCTAGGCATTTCTTGAGAGAATGATGCCCCCCGATGTGCTCGGATCGATAATCATTGATATATTTTTATGAGCTTGACCAATTAAATTACCGATGGGTATCCACAACGCTCTAGCAGGCATCCCTTTTAAAGTGAACGATATTCGGAAAAATTGTGTTTTCGCCACTGTAATTGAATGTTCTTTATGGAGCTTAAGCCCGCCCAAACCATGGGCCAATTTGATTAGAGGAGGACTAGTGATTTGCACTTTGAGAGCATCGGTGGGCATTGTACATACAAATATTCCTGAAAGTGTACTCGGAGCCTAATCATAAATAAAAACAACTCAAGTAGGAGGGGCGTGTCATATTGATTTACAATTTACGCTGGCTGCCGATACCGATTACATGGAGGGGTGTTCATATGTACTCTGTCTCTGCAACCTCCCCGTAGACGAATGCCCTTGCCTCACCCGTGTGGCCGCCAATCCATGGCCTCCTGGAACCACGTTTTAGGAGTGCCTCACTTCACGACTAGGCAGCTGCCTTCCCTTATCAGTGATCGCAAAATGACGTCCGCTCACCGTTTTTGTTTATGCTGTCCAATAAGTAATAACCACTGGGGTCTCGGTCAGGCCATACCGTTACGCGATTAAACGTTCCAGTGGTCACGCGACGCGCCAGAAAAACAACCGAACCCGATCAGTCACCCGTCAGTCACTGAGTAAGGTGCATTCCCGTGAGGCCGTGATTGCCTTGGGTCTGATCGGGTTCCGCCATCTTTTTGGCTCGTCGCATGACTATCGGACGTCTGGCCGCGCTTTTGTGTGGCTTGACGGGGCCCGCTGTAATTATCACCAGTTGGGCTCAGCATAAAAAAGAAAAAAAAGAAAAACACGATGCCGTCCTTTCCTCGCCATTAATACGCTGAAAGCAGCTGTCCACTGTAAGGTGTGAGGCACCCTCAAAACGTAATTCCATAAGGGCATGGAAAGTCTGCCAGACAGGTGGTGCAAGGGCATTCGGCTGCTGGGAGAGTCTATCTAGAAGATGAAGAAACGCACAGTCCTGTGAGTAACAGGTATCTGCAGCAAACAAAAATCTAAATACATATGGGCACCACTCGTAGTTCAAAAGCAGAATATCAAAAGAAGATGAGTGCCTCAAGGCATGTAAATATATGTATGAAGAAAATGCAAAAATATAGCAGATGCTCGGACAACACTGAGCATGTTTGTCAAACTTTATTTAACCTCGGACACCTCAGGAGGATACCCGATGCACATGGCAGAACACTTGAAGACTTTGAAAAGCTGAAGAAGCACTAATGGCGTATTCACACTGGAAGCGGATCCGCGTTCGCAAAGCGGTTGCGGATGCGGTCCACGAGCGGCCCCGTTCAGAAAACCGAGACGCGGTTGGCGGTTTCTCGGCGATAACGCGTGATCTTTTGAGACTTGCGTTTGGCAACCCTGTTTTACAATCCGAAATCAGCCTTAATCGCCGATCCAAAGCCAAGATTTTGCTATTTTGGCACTCCGAAGATTTTTCTTCGGGATGTTCCCACGCATCACGAGTTGAGGCAGCGAAAAGAGGCATGGACCCGCAAAACTCGCCTGCGATTCCCTCGACTTCGCCCACAAGCAAAGCATAGCTAGGCGCGCCTTGCTGGCTCAGAACAAGATGCCCCCGACCTCTTCTTCCAAGTGGGCCCTTCCAGCATGAATAGCTGACCTTGTTTTCGGTGTAGAAGGCCAGTTTTTACCCTTCGTTCACTCTTATCACGGTGGGGTGAACCCTGGTGTGGGGGAATGTGTTCGGTGCTAGCCGGTCGTGCCTTCGTTGGTGGTGGACTCTCGTCACTCGCACGTCGATCGAGTTCACTGTTTGTTTGACATTAAGCTGAAATAAACGCCGTATGGATTACCTCTGCATCGCCTGGTACGTACACTTTATTCTTTGAGTATGTTCCCTTTATTTTTTTTTGTTTGGAGTAAACGTTACTACAAATACCCTGTCCGCTCCGCGGTAGTGCGTTCGCTACGCAATGAGGCTCACGACGTTTGTATCGGCCTTCGTGGTGGTCGTACACGCTGTCGAAAGCTTTAAATAGTTAACGCGGCTATCTTAGTGGGTACAAAAGTGGACATTTCGGTCGATCAGAGGCGGGTTCCGACGTTCTACGGGCAGAGATTAACAAGGCAGCGAGCTTCGGGCTGTGGCACTCGGAATAATAAACAAACTCTTACCCGAACCAAACCGCCGGTGGGAATCCCGTTAAGATTACGAGTCAATTATTTTCACGGCGGATTCAAGTGACAGACGTGAACATCACGTTTTTTCTTTGATATGACTGATGTACCGCTAGGACTACAGCGCGTTGGACGGTTCACCAGCGACATGTGCCACCTTGATTCGAAAGTCACTGACGTCACGGTAGCGTCGCGCCGTGATTGGTTGCCACTTTGCGGTTCGTAAAAGCGGTTGGGAGAAATCGGTCCCGAAGCGGTTGGCAAAAACGCGCTCGAACCGCCCGATCCTAACCGCTTTGCGGTTGAGAACGCGCGTATCCGCTTCGCGTTTGCGGATCCGCTTCCAGTGTGAACGCACCATAAGAGGGTACGAGTCAATCTATGGCAAAAAGATTTAAGCGCCTCCTTGCGTGTTTATCCCGCCGCTCTACCAGGAGGTTTATAGGACAGTTGTCGCGCCATGGACTCGAGATTAGATTTTCACCTCCACGTCTCTCGCATTGTTGGCCAAGGACTTCGCCAACTGGGTGTAATTTCGCGGATGACAAAAAAATTTCGTCGCTTTGAGTGTCTTTTATGTCTGTATTGTGCATTGGTTAGATCACGCCTCGAGTTTGCGTCTGTGGTTTGGAACTCTGTAACGATGTTATATAGTAATCTTATTGAGAACGTTCAGCTTAAGTTTATAAGAATCTCATACGACCGATATATCGGCCGCCGCCGTTTCTACAATTACCATTCCCTACTCACTGACCTCGGTCTAGTGCCTCTGCACGATAGACGAATTACAAGAGACATGCCTTTCCTGCGCCAAATTGTGCATGGTTCTCTTGATTGTGCCCAGCTGCTGATGTCGTTGAGGTTCCGGGTACCGTCAGGGAGGACATCAAAATGCAGAGACACGTTTTACCCTGATGTGCGGGCCACTTGCCCAATGACACGTCTGCAACAGACTCACGATGCCTTTTTTGGTGAAACAGACATTTTCGCCTGATTTTGTTTTTATCTCATACTTTTATGTATCTATGTACATGACAGTGCTCTGCTGCTCAGGCCACTTGGCCTGTTTGCAGGCACGCAAATAAACCCCATCTATCTATCTATCTACCTATAAAGGCAGCCTAAGGAAGTGAAGGTATTCTGCAAAGCGGAACGCTTTTAGTGTAAAGAAATAATAGTCTTTAACTCCAAGTTATTTGAGTATCTCTCTTTGTTACCTTAATAAATTTTTTTTTCAAAACATAAATGAGCAAAATTGACGTGCGTTCTCTGATCAGCGCCAAACACCTGGGTTGTGCCTGTTCAATTTTTTTTTTATCCCTGTACTCAGTTTTTAGAAACTTAAAATCTCATTTGTATATGAATAACTTAAGCTTTGCATAATAATTTAGGCAAAGTGACTCTTTTTCACCACATAGTCTGCTTAGTGAAGTCTACATTTATAATAGCAATCGTATGTATTGGTAAATATTATATAGTTTTCTTCAGTGCAATAGGTCACTGTTTCTCAAGCCACTCCTGCAATGGCTCACAGGTGTGAGCCGCTGTATTCTTTAATTAAATAAAAAATAATGTTTTTTTATTAGCAGATACGAATTAAACGAATCAACGTTTTGAACACCCAAAAGAAACATCTCAACAGGTCTCTGGTTAGTACTCGTAGCACAAACCACCGGCATTACATTCAAAATCTTTCAGTAGCCGAGCGTTCAATGTATTGCACCTTTTAGCTAGAGATGCCATAGTGTTACACCCTATGCAGTAACGTTTGAATAAAATAAAATTGCATCATGTTCATTATGACCGCCGAAGAACAAATCAGGCAACGCATTAACATATGCCCTGCCATTGTAACTTTTCTCAGTGTGAACGGCATGGCTTATTTTGCCGATGGGTCTCGCTGCGTAAATCGTTCTTCGGCCTTCATAATGAGTGACGCAGAAGTCTGATTCACTGCGGAGTGATAAAGGGCAGTGTACGACAAGACGGTGGCACCACGGTGCTGCTCTCATCAGACTCATTTCACATGCACATCAGATGGATCGGCACAAACCCCTTTAAATGTCGCACGCTCCTTTTGAAGAAACACCCCGATATGCTACCTAAGCATATATCTGATCAAGTACGTTAACAAAACTGGTGAGTGACGAAAACGTGACAATTTCAATTGGGAATGAATTCCAATCTTGAATTTTTGTATGATATCTATTTGTTATACATCTTTGAAAAAAGTTAAAACATAAATGCAATACCATGATACATCCTGGAAACGAAATTCTGTACACATCTTTGTCTTCTTTTCGGGTCCCTACTGCCGTCACGGTATGTACACCTAGTTTAGCTTCTAGAAAACTTAAGAATTTTCTTGCATTGTTATAACAAACTCATTTTAAAACTGATATGCATATAAGGTGAAAAAAGTCATCACGATAATTAAAAAAGATATAACTCACATATAAGACGCCAGGGTTACTGGAATATACACTGGTTGCGGCGGCATACATGGTCACAATTAGGAACGAAATAAAAATGCCTAAAACCATCAAAGTCAACAGCGATAACCAAAGTAGCACGTCGTCACTGGAAATCCAGTAAAGTGACCTGCAGATAGCGAAAACAATATTCGTTTACTATTTATATCAAATGTATAAGTGTGAGTATAAAGACAGAAAAATAATAACCGAAACTTCACTAGATTTCTACTATACCACTTTACGTCAGGGGCCTAAAATATTAGGTTTGCATTGAGCTCAAGTACGTCCAAATAACAAAACCCACGCAAACAGTTCTATGGTCCCAAATCGTTTTTTTTTTGTATTACATTTTAGGGCCTTAGAAAGCCCAAAAGAAGCCCAGGTGAAGCCAAACTTTACTTTTTTTCTTTTTTGCCAGAGCATGAGCAACTTGGTCCTAATTCACCAAACAATTTCCAAAGTTAGGCTTCGCTTCTGGTTGTTCGGCTTTTTTGTGGCAATTTTGGCTCCAAATTGCCAATCAAGTGCCAAAATTAGGTCTTAACAGGTTCTTCGGTTCCATGAACAATAAAAACGTCAAAGAAAAGTACTCTGGAACTACAGCTAACGAAGTGGAGCAAAACAGTACTAGCCCTAAGTCAGGCTCGCAGGATCGCCAAGATTGTGAAAAATTATGCATTTGCCTGGCGTGCTACCTGGGAACTATTGTTTTTTTCTTGCTGCTTCCAGGCCGTGCCGCAGAAAAACATTCCGCAATATTTCGTGCGAACACACAACATGCATCTTGTGAACATTCGTTAATATCGAAAACATAAAAAAAGTATTAATATTTTATAATATATTTGTTTAGTGACGTGTTTTTTTTTCCTTTCTCAAATATTTTTTGAAGTTACTGTGAAGTCGGGATTAACGGTTTAGTTTCTCAGGGTGTTATCAATCCTTACGAAGCTCAAAACGGCTGCATCAAGATGTTATGGCTACAGGAAACAAAAATATATAAATAATTTGGATAAGTCTAACCATATTGCGGTAGTGATTTAAATATTTCCAGGAAGTAAAATTTGAGCCCGAAATGACTGCCTTTCATGAGTGGACGTACAGCGCCTTTTTTGAGATAGATTCTGGTGATGGTGAAGGCTACATACAGGTCTGAGACACCTTGCTCATTCTTCCAAACTTTGTACTTACATAATTGTCACGATTGTAGGCAAATTGTCATATAAAAAGGCTGTATTATTTGTCGTAACACAACATTTATCTAGCTTTCTAAGCATATATTTCTCAAAGCATGTTATATTTTATTCCGCTAAGGAGTGTGCGTCATGCAGCTCACTTCCTATCAGTGCTGTTAAATATTTTATTATCCTATATATCAGACGGCCTAATTGAGTATTCCAGATTTTCCCAACTTTGCTTTTAAGAAAGGGTAGAAATAATACGGTGCGAACGAGAAGAGAAATACAGAGTAAAAAATACCCTAAACATAGGAGAGACAGCAGTGTCCCTGCTTGGCCGAGCAAGTAAGATTTTGTTGGAGAAAGCCAAGTTATCTGAAACAAAAGTTAAATTAAGTACGCGAACTGGGAGGGACAAATTCTCTTTCCGAGCAACACGATATTTGTATATTTTGTTGCTGAGATATTGTCATGTTATTGAATATAGATGCAATAAATTGCAATATCTAACCCTCGAAAGCTGCGCGACGCACTTAGAAGTATAGAGTTCTTATTCTTTTCTTTACTCTTAATAAATTGTTCCAAAAGGCAGGAAGCCTCAGTGGCTAAAAGGGTAAAGGCCTTTTCGACATAAGGCTACCTGTTTAAAGAATCGAGATTACTAATCGCACGGCGAAACCTGTTAGCCACTTCTAGTTCTCCCATTTCTTCAATACATTTAATTAAACGTAGGCACCACACTTAGTAGAAGATTATGTAAAATTCCGTTTTTTGTTCTTGAGCTACCTTCCTCAGTAAGTGACACCCATCATCAACCAACATTCTTGTCGTGGCGTCAATTAGAAATAACATCAAAGTTGTTTCATTAAAGTTTCCCCAATATTATAACTACGCTTAAAACTCACCACTTCGGCTGAAATTTAAAAATAAAAATCAAACTACGTAGTATAAAAATGCCAGCGGGTCTCCTCTTTCGCAAAGTCTGCATTGGTTCAACCACTTCAACCTATGGAGCTTACCAAGAGAATGGCGAAGAACGACCTGATTTGGATCTGCTCAGAGACAATGAGTACGGCGATTTCCTTGCTCATTTCTGTCTGCGAAGGAACTAGTTTTGAAGTAAACCGTTGCTTTGTGGCTCTTAGTCATTCGCTCATCGTGCTACATAGAATGTGGTGGTTGCCCCACCATGTGTTCTGTCTAGAACTGAAAGTTCTGCAGTTATTTATTGTGTGTGATAGCGGTATACATAAGTATGAAGCTTGTATATCGAGCACTTGGCCATCGCTTCTCGAAAGTAGAGACCTTCCGAAGTTAAGAAGCCTATCCTGTATTACAAAATGCTAACCGATTGCTTATGAAACAAAAACATGCCACTACCGTAAAATTAAGAATGAATGCCTACCCCCGAAGCGTTGCAATTCTCAAAACTTTTTTCTATCCGAAATTAGTTGGTGCTTATTCGAGATCTTACGGCAATGAATGCATTATAGCCATCTTGAGAAAAGAAGTACTTCAGGTGTCCATTCCTTAAACCCACCCCGCTCTCCCTCACTCATTCCGTTGACATAGCCTCCCTCAACCCGATATTGCTACATCAAACATTGTGTAGCTAGTTCATTAAAAAACGATAATTTTTAAACCAAATGGTTTTCCATCAAAGGGGGTAACCTTTGATGGAGAACCGTTCCATAATATTTTCAGGGTGGCTTTAATGAAAGCGTAGTTAATTTAACAAATCTCAACATGATGGTTTCAGTTCTCACCATCTTTCTGGATAAAGGAGATCCGAAACACATGCCGCACTTGAACGCCGCAAACACGAAGCCGATCTTCCAGGAGTCCATACCATGGGCTGTAACCTTTGTAGGAAGCAAAAACAAAATACAAACACTCACTTTCCCTTCGAATTGTAGGCAATTCAAATGGTGTTTATGAGTTTACATCTCATCCAGAAAAGTATAAAACAATATCGGACTTGAATTTATACATCTCCTTTTTTTCTATCGAATGTTTTAGCGTTCACTAAAGGTTTTTTAAGCTCGTTGATTACTGATAGTTGTGAGGTGCAGCACAGCTACATTTCATGTAACAACCGTGATATACTAGGACTCATTTTAGTTTTCACATCGGTTTATCTTTCGTGGCCACCATTTGAGAGTTCCAGCGTTTGCAATTATAATGAGATATCATTTCGTTTGGCATCCCTCAGGAACACTTGGATCTGTAATTCAAAATTGCAAAATTTAAAAAGTGCGTGAGCGGGATAGTGTTTAGTTAATAAATTGAGATGAAAGAACAAAACGGGAAGGCTTTCCCCGGCGATGCATTACTGTGCGATTGGGGTATCTATCTCATGGTTTGTCAAGAGGAGCGATACCTTCCTTTTCCTTCACTCTTTTACCGTCATGAGTAGAAATCAAGACGCTGAGCTAGCAAGGAATATAGATGAAAGCCTTGGCACAGTAAAACTGTGGTAAAAAACGCTCTGTGGAAACCGTACTTGTCTGGATAAACGTCTACGTGATCGAATTTTGGGAACTGCCCGACACTCCTAAAATCTGAAATGAGCGTGTTTGCCATAACGCAGCGGCCCGTGCGTTGGTTTCCCCGTTCCTTATATCCTTCAGTAGCTTGACCTATTTTCTTCTCCAGCCGACTGTATGGGGTCCGGCTGTATGAGCTGAGTCAGCGGCGTTCAGGCAGGGTTGGCACAAAAGCCATGCGGGATATTCCGTGTAGGTTATTCAGTCCAAAAAAACAGCTCGAAATTATCCGCCGCATTTCTTTTTTATTATCGCAATGCAGCAGTCAGGTGCATATATTTCAACATGCCAGGGGCATATATATATATATATATATATATATATATATATATATATATATATATAGATAGATAGATAGATAGATAAATAGATAGATAGATATACCAACCTAAGTTTGGCTTTGTCACGCATCTGCAGGACTAAACATATTGGCTTGAGCGTGGATTTTTAAAGTGAAATTAATAGCGGTTAAGAGGTACAGATTAAGAAAGACAGAAACGTGTTCAGTCTCGGGCAAAACATTTTGAACAGGCACATTATAAAATACTCAAGTTTTAGTCAGGTAGACATATACAACTGGAGCACTCACCATGGCTGGGTAGAAAGGCGGAATCATGGCTGCGATGGCGCCGGTCCAGAGGTAAGTATAGGCTACTGGCAGGATCCATGCTACCATTTTGAGCGATCTCAGTGCTTTGTACGTCGTGTAAATATTTGCGCTTCGCACATCGCCGTTTTCTGTAGGTTTTACGAAGGTCTCCTTTTGCTCGAACGTCATTTCTCCGCCAGAGGGAGGCAGCTCCGTCGTGCCCAAAGGACTGCCAGACTTGGTTTTGACTGGCACATTTTCACTCGTAGTGGTATTTTGGAAACTGCGGTAAACATATTCTATTCTTATTTCTTATTTATTGATGCTACTATCTCCTTCGGGAGATATGTTAGGAGGAAGTACGTAGTGTTTTTATAAAGTTATACATTTCTAGTCATTTTAGGCACACGGGAAAAATGCAATCAATGTCATCGTTGTAGAGTATAGAATAAAAAAAAATAAGTTTAATGATCATTAGTACGAAGGAAAACCAAGACGCCGACTGAGCGAGTGCACCGTACAGAGTGACTGAACATGCTGTAGGGCTCTTCGCTGAATGAAAACTGGTCACCCATCGACTGGTAGCAGGGCTATTCGTCATATAGGGCAAATCGTTATAGGGCAGTTCGTCACTATGACGATTCGTCGAACTGTTATATATATTCCATATTGTAGTAGCATATCTGACGGTTATCGACCGTAGTTCTTCCAAGTGAGTACGACTACCAGTGACATCCTTCACTGACACAATTATACATTTACGAACTTCTAACAGTCACTGACTGATTGTATCTTTTCCACAACATTCTTGGCACTTGTCTCAGTCATCAGTGGAAAAGTATAAATGGCGAAATGGTAGGCGATTATGGGGTGTTACGTGAAACGTTTCTGTAACGCATGCGCCATTTGTGTCTAGGTCGGGCACCGGGACGAGCTACATTCTTTCCGCGTCGCGCATGCGCAGGTGACGTTGTTTCCCGCGTGCGCTGTAGGTGTCTCTGTCGCACATGCGCAGTCTGTCTGTGTCGGGCACGTGTACGAGATACGTTATTTCCGTGTCGCGCATATGTCATCTGCGACGCACATGCGCAGTTTGTGCCGCGCATGCGGAATCTATGTCGCGCACGTGGAAGATCTACAATCTCTCCCTGTCGCTGTTACTCCGTGTCGTTGGCGGTGCATGAAAATCTATCACAAAATAGCATCATTTCCACCTCTTTCCCTCTGTATGACTTCCATGGAGACTTCAAACATTGACGCGCGAAACCAAATCTTTTTATACCGGTCTGCTTATTTATGAACGTTTCATTAGAACCCACATTTCAAGATATTCAATACCTAATCCAACAGTGGTGCAAAAACTGAATGGTGCGGGACACTGGACACGACACAGAACTTTATCACAAAGGTAACCAAACTCCACAAAGACTGTGAAGAATGACATTCGAACAAAACATATGGCATTAAGGAGGAAAGGTTGTCGCTGAGCAAACTTGGAGGTGCATTAAAAAAGGAGGCCAGAAAGTTTTATGTTCTAGAATTCCAAGGTTAAGTAAAATGTTTACTAACTTTAGAGGAAGCACAAAAATTAAGCTTTATAAACAAAACACTACACAGAGCGGAATATCTATAACGACTGAACGCTAAAAAAGCTAGCACGCGGGCAACAAGATCTTCAAACATTATCTCCTTTTTTTTTTTGAAAAGTGTTCCTAGTGAAGAACCGCCCTATGACGAATTGCCCTATGTGACGAGTCGCTCTGCTACGAGTTGCCCTATTACAAGTTGTCCTTCAACGAAGGACGTTGAACAGAAAGTGAGTAGACAGGGGACCTAATTAACGTTACAACTTTCTAAGAAAAAAAAACAAAAAAAAACAGACGACGGACGAAAAAGGGGAAAACCGCAAAACGTCTCAGCTACTAAATTTTATAAGCAAAATCATATATATATATATATATATATATAAATGATTTTGCTTATGGGATATATATATATATATATATATATATATATACACACAATATCCCACACGCGTCTCCCTGAAATTTTCACACGTCCCTGTGACCTTTAATAAGGGTACTTATCATCTTTACCTCAATTCAAACCTACGACCTCAACTCGCACAAAGCAGTGCAAACCTATCCTCCCCCTCATACGTTCACACAAATACCAAACTCGGCGCAACCATCGGACATCTATACAAAAGCCCCCACTGACGTCCGAGGAGTCCTAAATAGAAAAACCTTTTCCTAACAAAACAATTTAAAAAACACATTTGTGTTTGCTTTACTTTATCTAGTATGATCGACGGTTGAGTGATTCACTTATCTACGGAACCAACCTGGATTGTGCTTTGCATGCCTCTTTTTGCATAACCTCTTTCTTTGCTGAATACAACAGAGTCATTCCAGTCAGGCAAATATTTATTGCTTGTGCTCCGTGCCGATAACGGTTTGATCACCCTCATCCCATCCGCAGCCGCAGACTTGTATCCGCATCCGAACGGCGCATACACAGAAATTCGCATCCGAATCACATTCGCAAATTTTTGAACCGCATGCGACCTGCATAACCGCGAATTAATTTTTCTGTAAAAAATTAAGCATGGATATATGAAAAGATACAGGAACATCCACTGGAGGATTGTTAAGACTGCATCACACACTTGCGTGAGGCCGGCCGAATGCGATTCAACGGCTTGTGCCGTTAATAATCTTACAGACTGCTATGGCAACAGGGCGGTTGTAAGCAGCTTAAAACCCCGTCGCCATAGCAACCCATAAAAGGACCAACGCCGAATGCCGTTGCAGCCGCACTCGGTCCGACTCACGCAAGTGTGTGAATCGCTCTTCAAAGAGCGTGTTCGTTTCTTAAAAGGGGAAGTGTGGGGCGTTTCTGAAGAGTCGTACTAACGCATTATCTCGGAATCCACCTATGGATCTTTCTGTAATTTTTCTTTTGAGCCCTTTTCTGTACTTTGCCGGTCAGACCATGTCGAGGCTCTTGGACACGGTCATTTATATTACTTGTGGAAAGAACCACATCCATACCACTCGTGGAAGGAACCGCATCCATATCAGTAGTGGAGGGAACCGCATTCATCGTTTTAACTTCACTCACATCACGACCCACGTACTGCTACTACGGAAATCCAGAGCGAAGAGCCTCCCTTGACGAGAGAGCGGCAACTGAGCACGCCCTCATTCCACTGCGCTGCGGCGCCTCCTCCACTCTGGCTCCGCGCTAGCTGTGCGACACTGCTTCGGCAAAACCGAAGACGGTCGTTTTGAGGGAAACCCCAAACGACCGTCTTCGGTCGTTTTGTCTATCAGTTTGCCAGCGCCGGGGAGAGAGGGAGAGGGCGCTTCGAACCAATGTGAGCGTCGCACGCGTCACCCTCTCTCACTATTTGTCTCTCTCTCATCGGCGCTAAAGACGAACGACAACGCTGGGTTTTTGACAAACGAAGCGCTCTAATGTTAACGTGTTAAAAAAAATATATATATATTTGGATGGTATTCGATAACCCGTGTGCTTACTTTTGCACAAAAAAACATTTTGTGACAGAAGACGGCAGAGCCAATTTATCCCATTATGTTTTATTGTAAATATATATATACAATAAAACATAATGGGATAAATTGGCTCTGCCGTCTTCCGCCACAAAATGTGTTTTGTATATATATATATATATATATATATACAGATATACATATATATATAGTAAATAGACCGTGACAATATATATATATATATTTTTTTTTCACGGTTTGTTTACTGGGTCCTTAACGTTCTCGTACTCGATCCCTGTCCCGAGCACCTCTACTTCTTTCGTTTTTCTTCGCTGTTACACTCGTCCCCCCTCCCCCCTATGAATTGATAACGATCAATTTCATGGACCGAGTTTAGGTCCATGGTGTGTGTGTCGATGAACGTGGGACGTAGTCTTTAAGATGGCTACGACGTGCCATCAATGTTGCATTGGCGTGATGGGGATCGCCAGTACAATCACGAACTCGAAATATCAAGGAACCCAGTTGACGAGGAACCTCACAGGGACCTCTGTAGCCTGAGAGGAACGTTTGAGCCCGGCCTTTCGTTGGAAGGGTTGGCGTGAAAAACCCAGTCTCCACAACGTACAGAAGTTGGGGGGGGGGGGGGGGGGGTTTGGATGGAGCAGTGCGTTTTTCAGTGCGTACCTGGGCACACAACATGGAATCGCGGGCGTTCTTTCTCACGGCTTGGAAACAGCGTCGAGAGCTACTTGTAAAGTTCTCTGCTCTTAGCTTCCAAAGGGCATTGTCAACGGATTCGCAGGGCAGAACTGGTGCACGCCCATATACTATTTGAAAGGGGGTAAACACGGTTGTTTGATTGTTCAGCAGTGTTCATTGCAAAGGCTGCGTATGATACAAGTTCGTACCAGTTGTTGTTTTGTTCGTTCACGTAGCTCTCGAGTATGCCACTGATGGTGCGGTTGCACGTTCGACAAGACCATTTGTTTCTGAATGGTATGCGCTGCTTGAGCGGGATGAGTACCATGAGCTTCCATTCATCTAGCAAACGAACGGGAAATAAAAGATGAGGCGCGATCACTCACGATGACGCGAGGTAAATCGTGCCGAAGAATAACTTGTAAGAACTGCATGATGTGGCCGACCGCGGTGCTTGAAATTTCACATAACTCTACCCATTTATTTAGGAAATTGATGGCGACGAGAACATACTTGTTACCATTTCCAGTACGGAGAAAATGGGCCGAGATGGTCGATGCCGAGAATTTCAAAGGGTGCTTTATTCAGTGGCACGGGCTGGACACCACAGTTGATGGTGGGGTTTGCAACTTTCCGTGACTGACATTTAATGCACGACGCTATGTATTCCGCTACGTCTGATTTGTGCCCGGAGAAGGCTTCCCTTAATGTCGTTGAAGGCACGTTCCTCGTTTATCGTCCATCGCCCAGTGTGGTTTTTACTAAGTAGGAGTGTGAGGGGTGTTTCACGACTCGTGAATTGTGGTATAAACCGGCAAAAAAAAAGGACGCAAAGCCGAGAAAGCTCGTAACCTCTGGAAGGCGGCTCGGTCTTGGAGACTTTGACACTGCTTCCAGCTTTGCAGGGTCGTGTTTGATGCCACTCTTGGTGATAACGTGACCAAAATAGAGAACAGCTTCAAAACCGAAAAA